TTCTGCAAAACAAAATTTTGGGAACAGACCTTAGACTATCATCCCAAATCTCAATTCTGTTGCTGAGTTGCAGCAAATATTTACAAGGATTCTTCACATCACAGGCAATCTTCCTTCACAATATTGGCCAAACTAATAAAAATATACCTGAGTTAATTAAAAAAAGCAAGCCTGCTCATTAAGACATATTTGATTTGAATGGGCAACTTTCACCTCCAACGAACTCTGAGAGTTCACTCATTTTCAAAGAGAATGTAGTGAGTACCTCAGTCTCAGTGAAAAGGTATTTGAGTATTTCAATTCTAAAGATCCCCATTTTTCAAAAAAATTCCCTGAAAAACAGGACATTGTTTTAAGTTGTAGGGTCAGAACAAGGAATTAGGAGGACACCTATCAATACAGCTCAAGATAGCATCTGCTCTCCACAGCTATTTTCTAAGGGATACTTTCCATATCCCTTAAATGGTCCTTTGTCAGGAAAGACTGAATCAGATGTCAGAGGTTCAGCTCTAGGCTTGAAAAGACTCCACGCACAGCAAATACTAATCCTGAAGGTCTGTACACAAATCAAAAGAATGTGATCTTCCTTGTCCAGAAAGGGCTCCATCAACAGCAGCAACACCCAGTCTTGGCAGACCAGAACTTAAAATCTCAGGACTAACTTCTCCTACCTGATCCTGAGGTGTGCACACTACAAATCCTCAGCTCTTCAAACCTCAGCCCCTAACAGGATGTGAAAACATCTAGTGATGAAGGGGACATGATACAGGGAAAGACTCGAGACCCACCAAGTGGTCAGGGTTTCATCAGAGCCGGCCCCTGGAAGAGAGTATATAACCCACTTTCCAACACATATCAGAATATTGCTTGATATTTAATGACATTTTATAAAAAAACTCGAAACAAAACAAAACAAAAACCAAAGGAACAACCAAAAAAACTCTCTGTAAAACATACAGATTTCACTGAATCATCATGATTGTGTGGAAAAATTCTGTATCCAAGTTCTCCCAAGATTTCTTCTCAACTAGTGCAAAACCCGGAAAGTGAATGTGTGTGTGGCTGGCAGGGGGAAGGGTCTTGCTTTGTTTCTTTGTTTCATAACTCCTGGCACTGATCTGATGATCTTCTGATATATGCTGCTGCAGGAGGAAAACACACAGCAGAAATTTAAAGCATGCCAGTAGTCCTAAGGTAGTACCTCATCAGAACTGACATGGAGTTGTAGAATCAATTTTCTCATACAAAAGCGAGAACATGGTTGATCTGTGTAGTGGTTTGAACCTTGTTTTCCCCCAGAGGCTGAAAAGTGGTAACCCCCAGGGGTGGAAACCCCTGGAAGTTTTGAAGTTCTGTTCAATGGGCGCTCCTGCAGAAATGTAAACATACCACAACCAGACCGGAAGAGAAGAGTGGTAGTCTGAGTTGTTAGAAGAAGTGGCCATGTTGTAATAGCCACGAGGAAAGGGGCCCGGAGCCCCTCGGGGCCTCTGGGTCCCCCCAGCCCCAGTTGGGGGCTACAGAGACTTGGAACAGTGTTAAGCTGGACTATGTGTCTGTAGCTGTGAGCTGCGAGATGTTTTCCATCTTGAGTGAGCAGAGACAGAGCAGAAGCGGCAGCAGTGTCCAAAGACTCTGGACAAGAGCCAGGACAGATAAGAACTGAACCGGAGGAAGCAGCAGAAGCTAGCAGCAGAGCTACGGAGTTCTGGGGGTAAGAACTGATATTAGACCCCCCAAACTCCTTTGAGATCTCCTGGAAGGAGGAAGATGATGGACTCTTACTTGAAAGAGCCTTGGAGTGCTACCGCACTTGCAGAGAGGAGCTGAGAAGCTCAAGGTGTCCTGAAGCTGGACTGGGACGGAGAGGAATGTGGAGGAGGGCTTTGCCCCCCCCGCTGCCTTGAAGCAGAGCGCGGAGCTCTCCAAAGGGGAATTTTAATCCCCTGAGGAAGGGACTTTCACGAAGATGCCCCTGCATTTCATGATATACCTGTGGTGACGCGAGTCTGGTCCCTGCTGGCAGTCCACAGGTGAGGCCTTCGCTTGGACCGAAGGAGAGTCGAGGGGCTTGAGACCCCCTTGTGTGTATTGAACAGAGATCCAGCTACAACAATCCAGTTACTGCTGCATGCATGAGATGAGGAGACCTGCTGCCCTAGAAGAGATTCCTGCTTTGGGACTGGAAGGGATCTGTCCTTCTTTCCCTCCTGGACTTTTATTTGGAGGGGAGAAGAGATCTGATCCATTGTAAATACTATATGTCATGGTAGTGACACACATGTGATTGTGTGTATAATGTGTTATAGTATTTATTTGTACAGTCACTGTAATATATTCCCTTTCCCCCACTTTGAGTCTGGTGTGTTTTGTCTGGAAAAACCCATCTCACATTTGGGTTGAGATGTGGGAAGGGGAATGGAGCTAGGGAATTGGATTTTGGGCTATCTCAAACCATGACAATCTGCTAACTTCAGATCTTGGCTACTTAGTCACTACAAACACAGTGGAAAGACAACACTGCTTCTTCCCAAAACCCTTCAGGAAATTTATGTTGAATGAAGCTGAGAATCTGGTGTATGAATTCAGCCATGTAATCCATTACTTACTTACACAGAGAAATTATCATGGTTCTGTTACTGTTTTAAAATAAGAGACCTATACTCGCAGCCATGACCTGCCAGCCATAACATCTGTAACCCATAGACTTCTAACATGAATGATGGAATACTTGATTTTCAGATGGCAGTGGGACCTTTAAAACCCACAAAATGCAAAAACTATTCATGCTACAGCCTACATAGTTATATATTATTGGACACACATTATAGCCAACTGCTCTTAAAATGTGCTAAATACTTACACTGTAAAGTTTATAAAGGAGTTCAGTAAAGTTGTAATTAGGAGCACAATAACTGTATATCGAGAGGTCCTAAAAGGCTTCTTGGAACAAAGCCAGCTGCCAGTTTTCAGTGTTATCTATTAGAGTTAACTTCATTATTACATTTCCCTTTTGCTGCTGCAGTAGAGGATACAAAGTAATTTACAAGATTCATACCTCCCCATTCAATTACCTGTGCAATTCAGCTTCACTGGAGATCCGCCTGTGCTTTGAACTAATGCATAAGACTCTTATGGAACCACAGAATCATTTAGGTTGCACAAGATGTCCAAGATCATCGAGTTCAACTGTTAACCCAGTACCACTGTGTTCATCACTAAACCATATCCCCAGTTGCCATATCCACACACTTTTTGAACATTTCCCAGGATAGTGATTCCACCACTTCCTTTGGCAGCCTATTCCAATTCCTGAATACCCTTTCAGTGAGGAATTTTTTCCTAATATCTAATCAATACATCCCCTGGCACAACTTGAGGCTGTTTCTTCTCAGTCTTGAATGCCCTTGTGATTAGCTGCCTAAAAATTTACTTGGTGTGTGCATAAATCCAACCCACCCTCGCATCTTCTTATTAAAAATAAAAGATAATAATAATAAAAAAAATTAAGACAAATTTTCAATAGTTTTCTAATACTATTTCTCCCAACACTTACTATATCATTTTAATTACAACATCTTTGGATCATTTCAGATTGATAAATGAAACCATTACTAACAAAAGAGTGTTCAAACTCTGCTTAAATTCTCTGTTTCAGCATCATTTAATCTCAAGGGCAGTTTTAGATTAAAGCTTTAATTCAGTGGTTTGTATGATCCCTGGATATAACAGACACATCAGCTTGTTAGGTTTTGCAGTGCATTCTAGAAAGTTATTGCACATCAATGTAAGATCAGGATCATCTTCATATACCTGTAATTAATTATTTCAGTAGGAGATATTTCAGCACACACTGTTGGCTGTAAAGCTCAACCTTTTTATTTCTTAAAAAAACTCCAGAAGATTCAGGTAGAAAAGAGAAGCAGATGGCTGGTCATGAGTTGGTAAGGGGGACCATAGGAGTCTACCTAGCTCTAAATATAGAAATAACTGTTTGTAGCACTTCATGATTTATTTACATTTACATTTTCTATACAAACAAAGACCGTCTGCAGAGAGGCAGACGGTCGTCTTCAGCCACCAGAAGAAAGAAGAGAGCGAGCTCTCTTATCTGCACCTTATTTATATGTTGTGTTACGTTAAAGGATGATATGGAATACTTCCTTAGATTTCTGACCCCTGTTGCTAAGGAAGGCCTAAAAAAATCCAAAAGCCAACCCAATAATAATAATAATAATAATAATAATAATAATAATGACCGCAACAACAGCAACAGCAGCAGCAGCAGCAGCCACTCTGTTTCTGGAAAGTTTACACACTTACTAACATACAAACTATATATCATTACCTTTTTTAAAATTAATTCTGCCAGGGCAGAACTGTTCAAAAACATCTTTACCTCTTTTACACATCAAGCTCAGCATAGAACTTCCACTACAAAGTTGTCATTCATTGTATTTTGTTTGTCAGAATTTGATTGAGTCAATAATTTGATTGAGTCATCTATGAAGATTCAGCCAATGAGAAGTATATACATTTTGCCTTCAGAACTGACATAGGAAATCTGAAACATGGAAGTGGTTTTCACTAAGAAGTCTGCTACAAGAAGACATACTGTAATATTACAGGGCAGAAATACTACCTCTTTTACTAATAGAACAAGAAAGGCCTATGATTTTTAAATAGTAATTATGAAAAAAAAAAGAAAAGAAAAAAAGCTCGGGCAACTTCTAAAGCTTTTGTAATTTCTAGGGCCAATAGCAAGAAATATCAAAATATTTAAGATACTTGTTTTTTAAGGAAATATTCTAGGATAAACTCATTAGTAAATTTAATACTTTATCCCCTTTCTATCCTTTCTAATATTAGGTGTATCCATTCGTTTGAGACAGTAAAAACATTCCATGATCATTTATCTCAAACTTATTTGTACAGCTGTTGCAAATAATTAATAAAAGGGAACATAAGAAAAAAAACTATAACACACTGAATACCTTTATGTGCAGTGGGCATATCTCAAAGAGTTATCCTAAACGCTGCACAATCCCAATATGCAACAGACCAACATCATGCAAATTATGGAGATAACATGTAATCACCATCCTTGTCCTCATGCTATCCCCAAGCACCCTGTGAAGGACCAAAATAGACTAGGTTTTATACAAAGTCCCTTTCTTGCTCAAGTAGATTAAAAAGAATGTAATTCAATTCCAATAACAGAAAATACTTTGGAGTATTGACTACTTCAATTTTTAAACATGCAGGAATGTTCATTTTGGTGTTTTCTTTGTTGACAACTTATGTGGTATCAAATAAAAAGTTAAGTCCATGCAATGACATAACACAGCAAAATAAGTTCTGGGGAAAAAAACACCACCACCACCACCACCGCCACCAAAAATTATTTCAGAAGACATTAAAATACATTTAGCTTGTAATAGTAAAATTCCTAACAGCAGGTGCTTACTAAGAAATAATTTCCTCAGTGCTTAATGGTCCAAGATGCAGCTGAGGACGATTAACTCCTCTCAGCTGGTCATTAACTGGCAAACGAACAAGAACCCAACCATGATTAAGAATCATTCATTAGCTATTTGGATACTAAATCACATTGTCCACACCCAAACTTTAAATCACAAGGAATTTAGATTTTCTGTTTCTTCAATTAAAGTTTAAAGAAAGGAGAATCACCATCCACAAAGAATAATCTTCATTAAGCTGTCAATATTTGCAGATCACCAAAATAAACTTCCTGCCTGATACATAAAGGGTACATGTGCCTGCTCCAAAATATCCAGCCAGGAACTATCAAAAAGAATTAAAGTGGATAAAAAAATATTCTACTGGTTAGTCTCAGACTATTTAGTAAAAAAAAAAAAAAAAATCAGACTTCATACAAACTACCTCCCACACTGAATTGTAAGATGTTTTATCTAGTATCACAATATCCTTCTGGATATTAGGAGCACAGACTGCAGGATTCTCACAGAACTAGGTGGTAAGGTCTCTGGGAAAATGGTTTAGAAGGTGCTGGGGTCCATCAGTGGTGGTCACGTTTTCAACAGCACCACCTAAAAGCACATAAGCAGGCAATTCCAAAATGTTGGATGTCAAGCAGGCGAGGTAGAAGGCCAGCTTGGCTGAGCAGGGAACTTATTCTGGAGATAAGGTGAAAAAAGGAAGTGGAAGCAAGACTGGGTGACATGGGAGGAATACAGAGACACTGCTCACCGCTGTAGGGAAAAATTTGTGTGGTCAAAACTCAGTTTGAGTTGAAGTGGGCCAGTACTGCGGTAACAACAAAAGAGCTTTTTAAAATTTGTTAATGGCAAAAGGCAGTGCAGAAATAACACTGGCCAGTCCCAGTCACATGATGAGGATGGTCACCTCATAAACAGGGACATAGACGAAGAAGACATATTTAAAGCTTGCTTTGTTTTGGAGTTCAAGAAGTGTTTGGATAACACTGAAACACATTGTGTGATTCTTGGGAATGGTCCTGTGCAGGGGCAGGAGTTGAAGCCTTGTGGATCCCTTCCAACTCAGGGTGTTTTATGATTCTACGAAAAGTCACAATTAAGGATTAAGCAATGATGATGATTAAGCAAACGACAGATGAACAAATTTACATCTTGACTCAGTGAGATACAGCTCTAATGCTCTCCAGACTTCCCACTCTCCATGGCAGGGTGGGTATCATTCTGTTAATGCACAGTGAGCTCGCACGATGTCCTCAAAATACCATCAGGTCGTCCCTTCATCCTCCTCCTCACTCCCCCTGCCCGACCGCCTTTGTTTGGATCTGCAACGACCACTTATTTTTGCCAGCATAACATTTTGGTCAGAAAATCAAGCCACAAATATGACCAGGTTAAAGCTACATCTGAGACAGGTAAACTTTTGAAGAATGTGATGATACAGCTTGAAGTTACTGCAAAACAGCAGTCCTGTCCTGCATGTCCTTCAATATAGGACTGCTTTTGTATGCAACTTCTTTGCATATAAAAGATGCTCTATTTTGATTCACTCTCAGTACTCTTGCAGTATCTCAGTCTCTCAATATTACTGCAGTATAACAAACATAAAATTTTATCATGTTTTAAACACAGCATGGAGATTTAATTTATATAAGACAATGACCACCATCTTTCTAAATATTCTTATTACTTCCAAGCACTAATTAGAAGTAGGTACTAGTCCACATTTTTGAGATTTTGGTCATTCTCTATACCATAAGGTAGAAGTTTCAATTTGAAAAGGGAAAGACAGAAGTCAGGATAGACACTTGGTATCTGTTTAGGTATCTGTGAAATGAGATTCTTACTCTCTCCAAACCAGATTTTGTTTACAGTTCTGATAAAATGATTTTGGAAAAGAGTAACCTTGTTGTTTGCACATATATTCTCCTTTTCTACCTTCTGTGATATAAGTGTTTGATTTCAGTGTCCAAATCAAGTTTATGGTAAGTTATTAAGGAAAAGAAAGACATTTCATTTGTAAAATGCATGAACAGAATTGCCAATGAAAATCTGACTCCAGAGTCTTTATATTAGTGATGATGTAGAAAGTGGAATAGCACAGCTTGAATTTCAGTTAGATCACTGGGCATGCTGTGTGGGCTGTTGGAAAAATCTTGCTTTGACTTATTAACTGAGCACATCTGATCTGGAAGCTTCAACAGAAAATAAATATGGAGTGCCAAGATATCATTTCCACAGAAACACTTTTCCAAGCATGCTTTACATGGTTGTTTTACAAATATGTTTCAATTTCTTCTGTTTATTTTCTATTTTACTGTATGTTATTGTATGTATTTCATTTTCTCCTAATAGTAAAAGTTGTTTCCCCTGTTATGGAAAGTGAAGAAAAAAATGTAAGAAAGTGTGCAGCAGATAGCCCATTACCGCCTTTTCTGTTCAGCAAATTCCCTTACATACGGAGCCATCCAGTATTTGCTGCTCATGGAGATTGCAGGTACTAGGCTGCAGAAATGCTTCCTGTGTGCTGAGCTTGGCATGGTGGTAAGCCGGGACCACAATGTCTTTTCTTTCAAAAGTATTTATAAGTTTTGCTTTATTATCAAATTCATGTCAAATGCTTTTTTGTTAAATCAGAACAGGAGTAGGTCTGATTTCCAGCCACTTGCAACACACCGTGACAATGCATTCATTAAAGCATAACTAATAACACTTATCCAAAGGCACATGTGTAGAAGCTTGCAAACAGAAACTGAGGTAACCCTAGACCTTGGGCATTTCCTGAGACAGACAGCAACCACTCAGGGCTTTACATATTCTAAAATCTGGACTTCTGTCCAAACACAACTTTCTTCCTGCAGGTCCTACCTCTGTCTCAGTGTCATCAGCCTCGTGCAGACATTGCAATCCTCTCAGATTGAATTAATGTGGCTACCCCCATGTTCTGAATGGCCTTCTGAAACAAGCAAACATTTTTCTGAATTACATCAAAAATTAAAACCATTATAGCAATAGAAAAACTACCTTCATGTTTTTATTTCTATATTTGTTTTTACATTTTGCATGTATTTCCAGGGTTCAAAGTCATTTTTTTTAAGAGCAACAATTTAAGAAAATATAAGTTTTATATCTTTTGTCCAAATACCTGACATTCTGAAAGATCTACTACTTTCTCTAAAATTAACTTTAATATTATTTTAAAAAAAATACAGTATAGCATAGCACTGGTGTTGGTTATAAATTTCTATACCCCCGGACCGTTGAAAAGTTTAGTCTCCCAGTTTCCACTGTTAAAGTAGAAAACAAAACCAAACTGTTTGAATCCCTGCCAAGCATGCAGTATCAGTGTGTGATGCTTTTCACAGTTTCTCAAGAGAGATTTGGACCCACAACACACCCTGTACCCAACAGAGACTCAGATTCATGCTGGGTATGAAGACACAAGTACTGCATGAAACACCTGTCAAGAGTTTTGGCATTGGGTCACTGCCAAACTGTACAGTATTACAATAACATTTTAATTTATCAAGTTAAAAAAGACATGCTGACTTGCCATGTTTCAGATTCAACTTATTTTCAGCCTGTGAAACCAATAAACATAATTTTGAAAGAAGCTTTATAGGGCTAGAATCTGAGACTAATACCGTAAAAGGGAAATGGAACTTTTTTCAAGTACATAATTCTTTAAAACAAACAGCAGTAGGGTTGAATTGGAAGTGTCATCTTGATCATCACTTTCCCTTTGCAGAGAGAAAAATAAGATTTAATGGTTACTGGTGTATTGCTCTGCATCAGATGCTGACAGTTACAATTTTACTTTCATTTTAATTTTCTGCTACCAATATGCTGATCTCAGCAAATGAATTTGCTACTTGAAGAAATAAACTCCCATTAGGATCATAATTTTTAGAGAGCATCAACAACACAGTCTTGTGCTGTTAGATCATGTAGTCACTACAGTGTAGTTAATTCAATAATTTAGAAGCATGGCGGGAGGGTGGGGGGGAGAAATGGATCTCAGTGTCCCAGTTTATCTATCTCAATTACTCTTACTCTCCCAATATCCTTTCTGAAAAGAAATTACTCACTCAAGGGCAACTAGACCTGACTCCCTGTGATAACAACAAATAAACACTTAGAATGTCAGACAGAACAATCATGGAAGATTTTGCTTTTTAATGCAAGTTGAGGCTTGGGATCCCCTGAAGAGGTCTACATTGAAGACTTCTATTCATCTCAAGTTGCCTGAACAAACACTAAAGCTGAGTTGTTGGATAAATGCAAGAGGATAAACGGAGCTCAGGTACCCCTACACTGCGTGGCAGCTGCAAGATAGTCCTTACAAGTGCCTCATTAAGTGACCTTATTTTTCAGATTGCTGAAGCTTTTCAGCAGAGCTTTACCAGAACACTCTGAAGAGTCTCCACAGTGAAACACATGGTTCATGTTAAAATGTGTAATATGTTGACCTCCTAATAATGTTATTTTACTACCTACAAGCGATGTTAAGCACTATGCTAAAAGAACATTATTGTTCAGGCAAATAGATACTGCTTTCTAAACCAAATTTTAAAAGGTAAATGTAAGGAAAATACTTTGCCTGACATACACAAAGCTACGAGATAAAATTAGTAAATATCATCTTTTGCCTTATTCATTTCAATATGAAAGTGAAGGACAGTAAAATACACATTGAGTGCACCACGTAATCCATGCAAACCACTGTGGAGTTCAAGGTGAATAAAATGCATTCAAAATAAGCCTAAACCTATTCAAAGAATACAGTTTTATAAATGAGACACTACCAACCATTCACTGTATAAGAAGACTTCATGCCTTTTCCTCAGAGCACAGAATAACAGCAGTTGGTTCTGCTGATATTTTAAAAGCCACACTATTGGCAGAGACTGACTATACCTAAACAAACTACGCAAACCAACAAATGGAAGAATTAACTAGATCACTGCTGTCAGTCTGGTTTAGTTTGCTAATTTTCCAGAAGGAAGCTGACTTATGCCTGTACCACCTCTAATATTGACCTCTACGTACACAAGGGATACCGTGCAGAATTGAACTGCTTTCAGTCTCAAATGCCACCACAAGACAACGTGTAAAACACAAGCTCCTCCAAATGGAAGAGTAAGTTCCAAGAGACTCACGACATATATATGCAAGGTACTAAACCTATCACACAATTGTTTTCCAGATTCATTCCTGCACCAATTCCATTTCTTCTGTGACTTCTCCTGAAATTAACTTCACGGTACAATAATCTTCACTAGCAAATAGCATATAATGATATATTCTAGCTGAGTTTGAAACACCACTAGCACAAAGCTAGTTGAATATAAAAGCACCTAACTGAAATGTGTACATACCTTTCCTTTTTTATTTGATTTTATTATCCTGGGAATAAATGTGTCTTCATGGATACTACGTATTTTAAGTAGCAATGTGCTAAAACTTACCTATGTTTCCAACTCTCCATTACTTATGTAGCTTTTGTATACAGCTGACACAAATATGTCTTACTTCCAGCATTCAGGACAGATGTTCTATTGGATCAAATTCTATCCAGTCCACATTGATTTCCATCACATTTTATTGCCAACAAACTGTTGTTCTGTACTTTAAGGGCTCCCACGTGCACATCAAGCATCCCATTATGTGATACACTTTCTGGCCCAATGGTGATATCTCCATAAATATTTCAGGCAGAGATCACAGCAGCTGCTCATTATGTGTTTTGAGTTTTACAGAAATTTTAGTTAGAAGTCCCCACAGTGTTCCAAGGAGTTTTATGTTTGCTCTTTTAATTAAAAGGGAGAAGAAAAAAAAAGCAAAGTTTTTTTCTCAATTAATGCAGAGAGCCTCCAGCAACAGCCATCTTACCTGCAACAAGCACCCTTGCACAAAAAAAAAGGTGTCAAAAAACCCAAACCAGGATAAAAGCCACAACACAATCATGCATAGCAAAGAATACCCAAAAAAAAAAAAAAAAAGCTCAGTCACATTAGTAAGTGGAACAGTTATTTAACAACATTGTGCATTCCACACACTTGAATCATTCCAAATGCATCCATTATAGCAATTCATTTAGAACAGCATGATTCTGAATTGACTTACAAATGCTTTAAAATTACTTTAAATCAAGTACAGCTTAAGTATAGCAGGCGCAATGTTCAAGTTCAAAGCGAAAACAAAGACAATCAAAATATTTAGCTCTACTGTTTAGTGCTTAAATTCTCACCCATCTTACCTGTTTAGTCTTCTGGTACTTCACTGTTGCAATCTGGAGTTCTTTTATACAGCATTTTTTGATACCATGTTTTTTTCCTGTACATGATTTAATACTGAGTTGTTTGAGTGTAATGCGGGAAGCCCTAGAAAAAAAATGTATTGTTTGCTTTTCCCATATAATTTCAATTGCTTTTCAGATTGCATGCCTTGAAACAGAAAAAAAAGAAAACCCCAAACCCCATGCAGCACTACAGACTAGAAAACACGTCTTATGATGAATGGCTGAGGGAGCTGGGTTTCTTTAGTCTCAAGAAGAGGAAACTTAGGGGGGACCTTGCCCCTCACCCCACCCCACCAGTGAGGAGGCTCAGGGTGCACAAGGAGATGGGAGTGGACACATCCAGGACAGGTGATCCCAAATGACCACAGGTATATTCCAGACCATATGTATCATGTTCAGCATATAAAGCTGAGGGAAGAAGAAGGAATAGGGGAATGTTTGGAGTGATGGTGCTTCTCTTCCCAAGTCACCATTGCATGTGATGGAGCCATGTTTTCCTGGAGATGGCTGAACACCTGTATGCCCATGGGACGGGGTGGATCAATTCCTTGTTTTGCTTTGTTTGCATGTGTGGTTTTTGCTTTACTTATTAAACTGTATTTATCTCAATGCACAAGTTTTTTTCACCATCACTCTTCCAATTCTCTCCACCATCCCACCAGGAGGGAGTATAAAAATGGCTATGTGGGGCTTAGTTGCCAGAGGAGGTTAAACCACAACACCTTCCACATACTGCAATGTTCACATTATCAGATTTGCTTCCAGGGTTTGTTTCCAAAAGATTATGTCCCTTTGCAACCAAACACTGGATGTCCTTGTGTTCTGGTAGGCACAATCAACTTATTTACAAAGCTCTTCAAATGCAACCTTGACTAGAATGAAATAATACAATAGCAATGTAATCTTCTTCATCTCCTCTGTGAATTTCTCTGTATCACATTTTCAGCCTGCATTTGTTCTGTCTCATTTCATGTCTCCTGATATAGCTGGTTTAGTACGTTTATTTGCCAATATCCTGCTGGAACTGCTTCAGTTCACTTACTGCAGGTTATTATTTCAGTGTTTTGGAGCCTCCATTATCTGTAGCCTGACAGTTTGCCATTTGAAGGAATGGCAACAGATGCTTGAGAAATGTAAAGTGGAGATGTGGATTAGCATTAATCAGCATGCTTTTCCTAACCTATGAAACTAATCTCTACATCTAGCCAATTAAAACATGACAAGCGAGACATCTTTAAAACTTGACTAAGTAGGAAAAAAATTCTGAAAAGCACTAATTTTCTGCTATAGCTCAGTCATTTCTTACAAGGTTTATAGGTTACTAAAGCCTTTCAGTTCTGTGAGAAGAACTTCCTTCAGCTGGATACATGGTAAGTACATCAAAGAATTGTCTTGCAATTTGTCTAAGTACCCTGAATCCCCTTAAATAAACAGCAAATCCTTCCCTGGCTTCACACCAATGGACCCTATTTTATGATTTTATTTCCAGACAAGTTAAATATTTCCTTCATTTTGTACCTTTAAAGACAATTTCAGAGCAAAAAACTGGGGGCAAAACAGGTCTTTATTTAGCTCAGACACTTTTTTTTAAAGTTTCTGAATAACTTGGAGGAAATTATGATCTCCATACTCAGCTTGAATATGATTTTGCTGGTTTATATTCACCTCTGCTCAA